AGCAAATAATAAAGTTATAAGATTACTTTCTTAAATTTAAAATATTTTCATTTGTAGTTTAACTAACTAGATAAAAGATTAATGAATCTAATAATTTTTATATAAAATTGAAGATGACAATTATTAACACTGTAATACTTTTTTACTTGTATTACAATACAGAATAAGCAATTTAAATTTGAATATTTTCTCTTATATGTTTTATGCCAAATGGGACTTTGAATGTTTCTATTAATTTTGTGTATGTTCAGAAAAGTTAATAAACAAGAAATACATGAATAGGTATAAATTGGATGGTTGCATATGGCTTCATGTAAATGAACTTTTTCTCATGCGTTTATTCTTTTGCAGACTCATACTGTAATTATCTGTAAGATTTGTAGCTTTCTCATTTACACTTTTCTCTTATATCTACAGATATATTTCGTGTGTCCACGTAGAAAAATGCAAACGTGGCTACATGCAGTGAACAAGGAAGGATGTGGTAGACACGCGCACTTTATCTGAGTTCTGATCAAAACTCAAAGACTATTTCCCCTTGTCTTAAACCATGAGATGGTTCGGTTTGAAGCAAAAACAAAGTTTCATTAGAGTGGTAACAAAATTAACAGTTTATTTTTAACCATGATTGGTGATATTTGCAAATGACAAATAGAATTACACTTAACATATCAAATGTAGGTAGCTCTATTGATCGTTGTTACTATCCAAACAATGTTGATGTCCAAAAACTAAGGTACAAACCTGTGTGGAAAGGCCGAAGATATGGAGAAGTCGCTCTGACTACAAGCGCTTCAGTAAAACAGATCGATAAGAACATTTGGAATCGAATCAATGTGATCCCTAGCACAGGAGAAAACAGTTACTTAGAGACCATCGAGATTCGGCTCTACTCGCTTATAGATCATTCTCTCTGTTTTCTTGAAGTTACATTTTGATTTTTCAATTTTATGTTTAGCAACCTCTAGAATGACACATTTATTATATAAAAAGTTTTTCTGAATAAAATTTTACATTTACTATTAAAAACAAGATTTATGAGTTTCGCTCTAGAAAATCTCAATTAACCTAATAAAAGAAAATACATTTAACATATGTACAATTTATAAAATTAATAACAAAATTGATTTGGGAGACTACATATATGTCATTAAGAATCTGATGACAAATATTAGTCATGTGACAAATTTAAGATAAGTAAGGTTTAACATTAGAAAAAAAATAAGGGTAACATTTAAAACATACATTTTGCAAACTTATGGTTACTGTTTGTAGAAAATTAATAAATTTTAATAGCTATCTTATAGTAAATGGTAAAAAATCTCTAAATCTTAACATACTATGAAATTCATTATATTAAAATGAAACTCAGTG